GGAGGCGGAATTGCCTCGCCCTTGTGAGTCCGGGCTATGCAATCTGCTCGGTTTTGCTCTCAGGAGCTTTTGTTCCCTGCAAGGTCTTGGTACAGCTTTGGAGGATAAGAGTGAAAATGGTGGCCTCCCAATCTCCACCTGGAGGAGCCAAGAACTCAGGGCCCCGCTCCTCAGTGCGCCCCCAGAGAAAGGCAGTCGGTTACTCCCGTGTCCCTGGTCTCCGGCCGCACTCCGTGCTCACCCGGCCTGTGACGGAGCATTTCTATCTCTTGCACCCGACCCCGTGTGGAGTCTCCAAACCCAGCAGAACCCTGCAGTGCGCTCCCACACCGCTCCTCCCAGGCGAGGAAGGGGAGTCTCCCCGGATCTGCCGCTTGTTGGGTCCCTGCTGGAGGAGCAGTGGCCCGACTGGGCCGCGGATCAGTTTATGGCAACCCCGAGCTGAGAGCCCGCGCCTCGGCTCCGTCTCTGCAGCCGGCTTCCCCGCTCCGATACCTGGGAGCTCTGCTGCACTCAGGCACCCCCAGTCTTTCTGTGACCCCAAGGGTCCTGAGACCACACTGTCCCGCGAGGGTTCCACCCCCAGCTTAGCCACTGGAGTGACGACCCTCAGTGGAGCCAGCTTCTAAAAGTTACGGTTTTGTGCTCCGTGGGTCTATCACTTGCCAGAAGCGGCCGACAGAGGCCCCCTCCCCCGCCGTCTATCCTCCTGAATATCGCTTCAGATTCACTTCTCCACGCGTCCTACCTTCCAGTAAATGGTCCCTTCTCTGTTCAGAGAGTTGTTGCTACTCTCTTCTTTGATCTCCTGTTGAGTTTGTAGGTGTTCAGAGTGGTTTGATCCCCATTCAGCTGAATTCCTGAGACCAGACGAAATCCAGGTCTCCTACTCCTCCGCCTTCTTGCTCTGCCTCTAATCATTGGAATTTGCTGATGATGTCACTCCCTGCCTTAAAACGCAGCATTGTCTCCCCATCATTCTCAGGATCAAGAGCACGTGACACCATGTTACTTGATGACTGGGATGCCACTTATCTTACTTTGTTTTATATTTAAAATTTTGTTAAATATTCATTTTTAAGATAACACAATAAGTGATACATTGGCTTTCTCATGGTAAAATGCAAAATTTATAATCAAAGCAAAAACCCTTACTTATATCACTCTCAAACTCAGCCCTCTCTCTGAAGGTGCTACTGTCCCCAATTTGAGATGTTTCCATCACACTGACATCACATTGACACTCACTCAAACCATCAGTGGTGTTGAAGGTGCTGTCTTAAGTGCTTTACATGTAAATATTTATTTAATCCAATAATCCTGTAAGGTAGGTACTTTATTATTTTCCTTGTATAGAAAGGAAACCTCCAATTCAGAGAGATTAAGTAACTTTCCCAAGGTCACACAGCTAGTAAAAGATTGAGCTGAGACTCAAATCTAGCTGATCATCTTTATCCTTCTAACGACTACATTGTGTTGCCCCTCACGATGTTATACAGATTTTCATTACATATTACATATTGCATACTACATGGCTCTGCGTCTTCTCCTTTAACATTCAACAGCATATTATGGAAAATTTTCCATGTCATTATATATAGATCTATCACTTGAAAACAAAAACTTCTACAGTGTTTTCAACAGAGCAATTTATGTCTCAATTCTCCAGCTGATGGTCAGATTGCTTCAATTTGTTGCAGTAAATATCTTGTTTATTTGCCCACCTTGCCTTTTTCTACACAAGTGGAGAGTGGAGAGCTACAATATCATGCCTTGGTCGTGGTACACGTGCATTACGTGGTAATTTATGCTGCCAGACTACCTCTCTGACTCTCTGGTTTGCACTCCTACTAGCTCTTTATCGCTTTTAAAAATGGCAGTGGCTAAAATTTGTGCATATTTATTCTTCCAGTCGAATTTTAGAACCAGCCTTTCAAGTTTCATGAACAGTTCTGCTGGGGTGTCTACTTATTTTTAAAGCCTCAACTTTTGCTGTCCCCAGACATGGACCTGAAGCTTTGAGATAAGAGTTGCTGGCCATTCTTTGAGTACATCGTGTACTTTTATATTTCTGGGCATTTGTACAGGCTAATCCTTGATGAAGTTGTCTTAACTTTCCCTTCCCCAGGCCCCCATCATGCTTTAGCCTTCCCTCCCTGTGCTCCCACAACTTCTTGAGGTCACCTCTCCTGGCTGGTTCTCATGACTCTCAAACTCATCAGACAGAATTCCTGAGGAATGGGAACGCCATCTCTGTTCTCTCTTCAGAACTAGCTGGAGAGCATCTGCCTTATAAATGCATTTTTTAAAAGATTTTATTTCTTTTATTTGAGAGAGATAGAATGTGTGCACATGCACACATACAAGTGGGGGGAGGGGGAGCAGAAGGAGAGGGAGAGAGAGAGAATCTCAAGCAGACTCCAAGCTGAGCATGGAGCCCGATGCAGGGCTTGATCCCTGGAAACTGAGACCATGACCTGAGCCAAAATCAAGAGTTGGACACTTAACTGACTGAGCCACCTAGGCGCCCCCATAAATGCATTTTTACAACAAATGTTTATTGGGCAAATGCTAAAGGCCAGGACTGTGCTAACCCCTGGCAACAAATAAAAGAGAACACCTGCTCCCATGGAATTTCTAGTCTTGTGGGAGGATGGAAAATAAAAAGGCAAATATTTAACATGTTTGAGAGATAACCAATGAGAAAAATAAGCAAGGTCAAAAGAGAAAGAGTGGCTAGGATAAAAGGAAGAGAGGGTGCTCCTCTAGGTAGGATGTTCAGGGGAAAACTCTCAGAAAACATGACATTAGACTAGAGGAGGAGTTTTAACTCATGCAGATATAATGCATAACACTGTTCCAGGCTGAGGGAACTGTATATGCAAAGCCCCTGAGCAGGAGTCTGCTTGGGCAGAGTGGGAGGTGAAGATTTGGAGTGGTGATGGGGGTTGTTTCATGCCTGGAAGCAATGATGCCTTTATTGAATAGTAAGTTGGAGAGTTTTTATTGGACTTAGGTTTTTTTTTTAATTTAATTTTATTATGTTATGTTAGTCACCATACATTACATCATTAGTTTGTTTTTTTAAATTTTTTTATTATTATGTTATGTTAAGGATCCTTCTGGCTAAAGAGCTAGGATTCATCTTTGAATGAAAGAATAAAGTAAATGAAATAAAAAACCATTCTCTCTTTATCTTTAAGGAAACTATACTCTGAGAGTTGATTGCACCCCACTAATGTACAGCTTGGTATACAACCTAACAAAGGAGGTAAAAATAATTATGTATAATTTTAGAAAGTTTGAGTTCTACAAATGATGTTTTCTTGAGGAACCATTATTATGTTAAGCAGCTGCATTGTTTTATAACTTGTCTTTCTCTCATTTAGCAAATACTATAAGCTCCAGAGAACATTACATCTAATAAACTGTTTACATATGCTACCCCATTTCTCCCAACTACTGAAGCAGCCCTGGGGTCGCATTGTGTCTACCATCCCCATTTGAAATCGAGAAAACTGAGATCAAAAAGCATTAGCCCCCACTGTCGCACAACTCGTGCTGTAGCTGAACCAGCGCTTGGTCCTGTGATTTCACTCCCTAATTTTAAAACTGATTTATACTCCTTCAAGTAATGATATCAATTAGCCCAGGACACAGGAAGAGTTGAAGTTTCTAAGTGATCAAGAAGGAGTATTTTGCAAAAACAGCAAGTGCTGATTCCAGGGTCCAATCGGTTTGGGGCAGAGGCTAGGGGAGACCATGTACCCCCCTTCCTGACTTCTGGCCTTGAGCTGCACTCCACTAAGCCCCACTGAACTGGGCTGACAGCTGAAGTTCTCTTAATTCTGACAGCAGCACAGGATCCCAAACCTACTGGAGAGATTGTGCCTGAGTTCCTCCAGGACTGACAGGCAACTCTTCACTTTCCTTGTCCTGATCCTCAGTCTACTGGGCCTAGCATTCGTCATCATGAAGAACTTGTTGGCAGATTTTTGTTGTTACTGCTACTTTTCTGATTTGAACTGGAAAGGAAAAAAAAAAAAAGGACTTGCCTATTTAATAGAATTACCAGTTGAAGTATAATTATCAAGGAAAACACAATTATTCCCCTTCAGATAGGGGTTTTCAGTAAGACTTAAATGTCATTAACCTGTGGTTTCAAAAGCATGGAATGTAATCTTATGATTTAGCTTCTCCTCTAGGATTAGAAAAAAAAAATTCATGTCGTTACTCAAGAGCTGCATCATTTGCCTGCAGTTTTATTGATTTCCATGAAGTGTGTAAAAATTTAAATATCTGCAACAGGGTGTTTCTGAGAATGTTCACTCTTCATGTAATTTAAGTCAAATGCTAAGGAAGCTTGGGAGTTCTTTGTTTTCTGGCTGGCTTGGTGGCATCTGGAGACAATTGCAAAAACTCTACTCTCTAGGTCAGATTTGAAATTATGTGTTGCTTGACAGTTTGGGGGTTTGTTTTATTCTGTTTTATTTGGGGAGAGTGATTTATAGCATTTTACATTTGAGTGATAAACTGAGAATTTAGTACTGTATTTCTACACTGTGTTAAATGTGCATTTCTTAGAATAAATGGAGCAGTGCTGTTCCTTATATCAAAATTTTGTGTCAATTTATAAGCTTGAGTGAAATTCTTTTGTTGCCTATTTATTCATATTTTACAAATTAAGATGTTAATAACACAATTTCTGTTAACCTAAGTTCTGACTCTCTCCTCATGCTTATGCAAATTTGTGTTCCCATAGACCTTTGCACCTAGCACATTGCATTCCACATTTTTACCTGTAGTTCTCACTCGTAGAGAGTATGTAATGTGTCTTATTGAGCTTCGTTTCCCTGGCATTCACAAAAAGTCTTAAACAACATAGGTACTCTATAAACTTTTAAAAATCAATTTGTTGAAAAATAGAACATAGAGGCGCCTGGGTGGCTCAGTTAGTTAAGCGACTGCCTTGGGCTCAGGTCATGATCCCAGAGTCCTGGGATCGAGTCCCATGTCAGGCTCCCAGCTCAGCGGGGAGCCTGCTTCTCCCTCTGACCCTCTCCCCTCTCATGCTGTTTCTTTCTTGCTCACTCTCTAATAAATAAATAAATAAAATCTTTTCAAAAAATAGAACATAGGACTTTTATTAAATATAATATAAAAACATTGTATACCATATAATGTATAATAAATAACCCGTGAATAGTGATGGAACATTTATAATTAAAGTTTAGTTTGTGAAATGTTTCCAGCATAACATCTAATGCGCTAGATTTCAAGAATAGGTCTAGAACTCAATAATAGGTCATATTTTTTCCCTTAGTTTTCTCATCTGTAAAACCAGAAAATGTATTTAAAGCCCAATATTTAACACAATTATAATAAATAATTGATTAAATAAAATATTAATGCATTTATTTTTATTGTGTATTATTTAATGACTTTAGCAACCTTACTGACAAGACAATATTAAAAGAAATACCTTCTCTTAATCATCTTGCTTCCTTTCATTTTCTTTTTTATAAGAGGGAGAAATGTGTGTTTTTGAGAGCAGCCTCCCTCAACTCAGAAAAAATAAACCAAAAAATCTTACAATATGACCATTCGTTTGCATACAGTAGCTTGGTAATAATTTGGCCTTCTTTTCCATACACATCATGTATTTTTTATAATAGTCACACTTATATATAATAGCATGAACATTTTCCCCTATTGTCAGAAACTCATTGTAATTCTTAATGACTGCTAATATATGAATTGTATCATGTGTCTTGCTGAATATAGTTTAGTTATTCATTCCCTGGTTAATGGACATTTAAATTTTAAAATATCTGATTTATAAGTATTTTCTTTTTTTCCCTTTTAATCTGTGTAGCTCAAAAGCCCCGATGAAGGCTTTGAAGGCAAATCTCTTTATGAGAGCTGGAATGGAAAAAGTCCTTCACTGGAGTTCAGTGGCATGCCCAGGTAAACAAACAAGACTTTCTACTAGATAGATTATAGGATTGGGTTGAAAATGAAAGTGTATTTTCTTTCAGTGATAAAGGGAAGGCAATGCTTTGTTTCTCAAATAAAATATTACTATGTGTTTTGAAGTTAAATCTGTACGCCATCTAAAACTGATTCTTTTTTGAGCAGGCAATATATAAGTCAAAAGTTATAATGGTGGAAAATAGTTCCCCTCACATTTCTGTCCCTTAGTTATTTGATACATTTTCTTTTTTCTGAATATCATACAGTTAAAAAATATTTTAGTTACTCTAAGAAAAATATAGGCATCATTTCAATATGGTTGTGTCATCACAAGCAAGGTTAGAGGAATAAATATCTCAGATATAGATTAATTATAGATAAGATTATACCTATCAAGAGTATGAATAACTAAAAATTTTTAAGGTAGGATTTACATCTGAATTATCTTAAAAAAATCTGCTTCTTTTAACTTTATTATGAACAACAAATACAGACAATAAAATAAGTTGAGGGAAATTATTTCCCAACTTAATGAGTCTTTAAAAAAAAAGTAACTTATGCAATTGTGATACTATGGTTTATAATAGGAAGTATATACTAGATCTTTGGCCCCTTTCGTGGCACAGAGAGCTCCCAAAATCTTTAGAATGTTCTAAGTGATGAAAGAGACAAGGGTGTCTCTTGTTGCATTAGCAGGGTGACCTTTGGACCCCACCTAAGGATGGGGGCTGATGGCCAGGAGAACCAACTATATAATTAGAGAATTGGAACTTTAGTCCCACCCCATGAGCAGAGGTTGAATCACTCTGCAATGGCCAATGATTTAATCAATTGTGCCTTTGTAATGAAGATACAAACCCAAGAAGACAGGGTTCAGAGAGCTCCCACGTTGGTGGATACATGGAACTTACAGCAGAGAGGCATACCTGGGGAGGGCATGGACAGCTCAGCACCCTTTCCCCACACCTTGCCCTCTGCACCCCCTCCATCTGGCTGTTCCTGAGTTACATCCTTTTATAATAAACCATTGATCTAGTAAATAAAATGGTTCTCTGGGTTCTGGGAACAGCTCTAGCAAATTAATCGAAAGCAAGGAAGAGAACTTGGGAATATCCAATCTGTAGCCCGTTGGTCAGAAACACAGATAACAATCTGGGTTTGTAGTTGGCTTCTGAAATCAGTGGAGGTGCAGTCTTGTGGGACTGAACCATTCACCTGTGGAATCTGGTGCTACCTTCAGTGTCAGAACTGAGTTGGGTTGGAGGACACCCAAGCATTGCTTGTCGCTGATATGGGAAACACCACACATCCCCCTCCACATGTTGGAATTGGGTCCAGGAACCGAAAAGAACAATGGTCCCTACTACCCAAAACAGTCTTATGGAAGTAGATACTTTGTGATCAGGACTGATATTCCTTTCAATTACTTTTTGTTGTTGTTGCTTGTCTGATGTGATTTTTATAAAGAAAAATGATATTTATAAGAGCAAGAATAGAGTTTAATTAATCTTTAATTTGTACTCACTGAAGAAACTACTCAAATAATCTCCTGCTTTATCCCTAAAAGGATTAGTAAGTTGGGATCTGGTAATGACTTTGAGGTGTTCTTCCAAAGACTTGGAATTGCTTCAAGCAGAGCACGGTACACTAAAAATTGGGTAAGTCTGTCAGTACGTTTTTCAAGATTACTTATGAATATATTTTAGCTACACAAATAATTCTGGAATAAAAAAAGTGTGACATAAGCCCTAGAGAAATAGAGGAATTTAAAGCAGAAGTGGTTGAGATCATGCTACTGTCACATGGGATAATGCCTGAATTGGGTATCCTAAGCCTTAGAACTTGAACTTGCATGTTCTCCCTTAAATATATTTTGTTTCATTAGGTGGCGTTGTTTTCACCCAGTTACTTACACTAGAAATGTAGAAATTGTCTTTGACTCCTCCCTACCTGTTATCATTCCAAAGATGAATTAGTATCCAGACCAGCAGATGTTTGGATTTTTATCCCATCCTATCTCTAGTTGATAAACATGAAAATTATGCTCTATGGCACAAGAAGCAATGAACACATATACAGGTCATGATTTTTTTCCTACCGTTGTTGCTGATGGTAATGACAATTTTATAGTTTTTATGTTTACCAAAGTAACATAGGAACATAGTTCACGAACTGTCATACAGTTCTGTAAGGGTGTATGATGAAAAACACTGGTCCCTTATTCCACTTGCAGGCTCATCCCATCTCTGATTCTGTTCAACAGATTCACATTTTTTCAACTTTTTCATTGGTTTCTTCTGACATCTATCTGCATGCTTATACATGCTATGCTCCTGCTGCTATTTATTTATTTTTCAGTTTGATGTATCATCCATTTACTTCTCATGAGGAAAGAGGCATTTAGTGTTTCTATATCACTTTTTCTCCTAACTCCCAAATACTTTCCCTCGTTGCATTTTCTCAGTATATCGTTGTACCATACTTGTGGATTAGAATATCTTTTTTTGTCCCCTCCATGTATCCATAACTAATTCACCAGAAAGTTTCAGGATATTCAAACCTATTGGGTGATCTGGCAGTTTTCTTTTTCCCCCTTGGGTTCTTCTTCTCCTGCTCCAGTGGATTTTCTTTGCCTGTGACACAGCTCTTGCCTGTGAAATTTTCTTTCATTGAGAAGTCTGAGAGATCTTCACTTCTCTCCTGTTTTGCATCTTCTCTTTCCTGGATTTTGTCTCTTCCTTTTTCTTGTTTACTCTTTAGTATGTTTGGAGCACATCCTTCAGGAACTTCTTAAAAATGGTGTATCAAAGCGAAAGCCCTTGCCTGTCTGAAGTACATTTATACCACACACAATTCTTGGATAGTTTGTGTGGGCACAAAGCTTTTGGTTGAAAATCCTATGTCCTCAGAATTCTGAACTCATCCCTCAGCATCTTCCAAGCTTCAGGATTGCTGTTGAGAAATTTGGTGCTATTTGACCCCTGATCCCTTGGCTCTGATTTTTTCCTTTTACTGAAGTATAATTGTCATTCAATATCTTATTAGTTTCAGGTGTGTATCATAGTGATTTAGGATTTTTAAGCATTACAAAATGATCCCCACAATATCTAGTTACCATCTATTGATATACAAAGTTACTACAATATTACTGACTGTATTCCCTGTGCTGTACATTAACATCTCTAGGACTTAGTTATTTTATCACTGAAAGTTTGTACCCCTTAAAGCCCTTTACTTATTTTCCCTGCCCTCTAACCCTTCCCCTCTCTGGTAACCAACAGCAGTTTGTTTTTTGTATCTGTGAGTCTGTTTCTGTTTTGTGTGTTCATTTTTTTGTTTTTTAGATTCCACATATAAGGAATCGTGTGGTGTTCTGTCTTTCTCTGACTTATTTCACTTAGCATAATACCCTCTAGGTCCATCCATATTGCAAATGGCAAGATTTCATTCTTTTTTACAGCTGAGTAATATTCCTCTGTGTGTGTGTGTGTGTGTGTGTGTGTGTGTGTGTGTGTGTGTGATGGACACTTAGGCTACTTCCATATCTTGGCTGTTGTAAATAATCCGGTGAACAGAGGGAGTGCATGTATCTCTGAATTAATGTTTTCATTGTCTTCTGATAAATACCCAGCAGTGGAACTTCTGGATTGTATGGTAGATCTATTTTTAAATTTTTAAGGAATCTCCTTACTATTTTCCATGGTGACTGCACCAGTTTGCATTCCCACCAACAGTGCGTGAAGGTTCATTTTCTCTACAACTTCGCCAACACTTGTTATATTTTGCCTTTTAGATAATAGCCAATCTGACAAGTATGAGGTGATATTGTGATTTTGATTTGCATTTCTCTGAAAATTAGTGATGTTGAACATTTTTTATGTACCTGTTGGACATCTCTGTGTCTTTTTTGTAAAAATGTCTATTCAAGTCATCTGCCCAGTTTTTTTTCCTCCTTTGCCCAGTTTTTAATCATGTTGTTTGTGTTTTTGATACTGAGTTGTCCAAGTTCTTTAAATATTTTGGAGAGTAAATCCTTAATGGATGTATGATTTTCAAATATCTTCTCCTGCTCGGTAGGTTGCCCTTTCCTTTTGTTGACTGCTTCCTTTGCTGTGCAGAAGCTTTTTATTTTGATGTAGTCCCATGTGTATATTTTAGCTTTGCTGCCCTTGCTGGAGGAGACTGGTCCAAGGGAATATTGTTAGGGCTGTGTCAAAGAGCCTACTGCTCATGTTTTCTTCTAAGAATTTTAATGTTACAGGTCTTCAAGTCTTTCATCCATTTTGAGTTTATTTTTGTATATGGGGTAAGAAAGTGGTCCAGTTTCATTCTTCTTCATGTAGCGGTCCAGTTTTCGCAGCACTATTTATTCAAGAGACTGTCCTTTCCCCACTGTGTCATTCTTGCCACCTTTGTCATTGATTAAATGACCACATATGTATGGATTTATTTCTGGGCTCTTTATTCTTTTTCATTCATTGATCTATGTGTCTTTCCACACTGGTACCGTGATTTTTTTTTAAAGGAAGGTTTTAGTATCTTCCATGTTGTCCTTGGTGTGCATGTGTGCCTTGGTTATGCCATTTTTCCTTACACTGGTCTGGACACAGAGTGGGCCCTTTGGTCTGGAAACCCACGTCTTGCAGTTGGAGGGAATGCATTTCCCTTTGATCACTTCTTCCCTCTTTTGTCTTTTTTGAACTATTACTAGTTGTTTAACATCTGGGGATTATTTGCTGATGTGTTCATTTTTTTTTTATTTTTAATTTTTTTTTTGTTATGTTAACCACCATACATTACATCATTAGTTTTTG